GGGAGAGAGAGAGAGAGAGAGAGAGAGAGAATCAAGTTAAAAAATTTATATCCCGAAAATTTGTAAATGTCTCGATTGTTTAATGTTGAAAGATAAAAGGAAAAAGTGATAAAAATGGATATATATATAGAGCATAGAAGGGATGAAAATTTAGACAAACGTGAAAAAGTTTGGGCATAGGTTTCCTTGTAAAATTTAGATGTAAAAAGTTGGAAAGATATTTGAAATGTTGCTCCTTTCGAAATCTTTCCAACTTTCTTTTTTTTTTCTTTTTTTTTTTTCTTTCTTTCTTTCTTCTACCATGAATTTGATCGTAGTTTCTAACACATCGATAAATCTTTCCATGATGATTGTTATTGAATTTTTATTCAGTTTACTCACTTTCATTCGATATAATTTATATACTTTTTCTTTTTCTTTTTTTTTTTTGTTTAAATTAAAATCATACGTATAGAAAATTTATGATATTTTCTGTGATATCGTATCGCAATTTTTTAATATTTCAATTTTTCATTTTCACATGAAATTGGGACGAAGATTCAGAGGATTCCAAAAATGGAAAAAAGTGCTGGAAAAAATGAAGATATACGAATATTAGTATATCTACAAATTATTTTTTTTACTTTCTCTTTTTTTATATCTGTTATGTATCGCTTGATATTCGGATTGAATATTGAAAATGTACGAGTATTGGATGTATGAATTATTCATATAGAAATATCTATCTTACTTAGTCGTTAATCTAAGAGTTACAAGACGTTTCGAATATAGAATATTCTATTCACAAGATATTTTTCTTCTTCTATTCTTTCTCTCACTTATTTCTCTTTCTTTTCTTATTTTTCTTAATCTTAAATTTATGTATTATCGAATGTAATCATTGTCGCAAATGTTTGAAAAAATTCCATTCAATGAGAGAAATGAAAAAACGAATCTTGTTACAGGATATTTACAATTTAAAATAATTATCTAATAATAAAAAAATTTACTATAATTGTTAGAAAAGAAATTAGAAAATACTAGTAGATTAGTTTGTGTAAGAGAAAAGAATATTTTTATATAACATATGCTTCCAACTGATTTCTTAATTGACAGAAAAAAAAAAAACCTTAAATATTAATGTAAAATTTCAATCTTATTTTATAAAACGTTAGAAACTTTTAAGGAGATCCATGGTCCATAAAATAAAGATTAAAATCACGCGATCACCGTACGCTTTCGGAATTTATCTTTATGAAAATGAATATGCTTGAACAGAAAATTATTTCAAACTTTATTTCTTTGTATTTTTTTATTTCATTTTATTTTATTTCTTTATCATTTATCATTTCAAATTTACCATTAAATATGTGGTATTTAAAATGATCGAATAATTTTTAACAAATAATTAAAATATTATTATTTTATTATATAGTATCTAACGTGTAAAATAAATTCGAATGAATAGAAATAGATAAAATTAATTTTAATCAATTTTTTGTAATACCAGCTTTGGAATTTGTCAAGTGTGTTTCTCACTACTGTTAACCAACCGTTGTAACACGAGTAACTGATAGCTATTAGTCATGCTCGACGTTCAGTGAAATGGGAAACTATGAAATTAATACACCGTGGAACTCCTGCTCGAGAGAGGTTCATTGTTGTACCGTGAAATAAGAGAAATATTATCTGGGAAGGAGTAAATCGATAACACATTAACGATTTCTTTCGTTGCATCGTCTAATTTAATAGCGAAATCAAATTCTCTTAACGATAATCGATAAATTTCACTTAAACGCTTAATTTCTTAAATTATCCTCAAATATTTTAAGTGCAATCAAGTTCAAATCAAAACAAAATAAATACC